TAAGTCCTGGACATACTTTCACCCCAAATCCTTCATTATGCATCTCTGATAAGAACTGAAGGAAAAAACATAACCGCAATGCCATTATCACATCTACAATACCTGTATCTATCACATATCTACCTATCATATCTCTATAAATCACATCTATATCACATTAATAATCTCTTAACATTTACATCAAATCCACATTTTATTTCCCTGTCTCAACCATGTCTTTTTAACGGTTGGTTTATTCAAATCAGAGCCACACAAGATCTAAACACTGAATTTGGTTTGCTAGGCATTTTAAAAGCCATTATTTACATGCATTTGATCTTCACACTAACCCCATGAAAAATGTACATTCCTGGCTCACAGGCGGGCACACTGGGGCTCCGAGAGCCTAAAAAACCTCCTCAAGTTCTCATTGCCAGCAGAGCCAGAGCCAAAATTTGAATTGAGGTCTGACAAAGTCCAAAGACTCCATTCTACCCCTTCCCCTTCAGGCTACCAGGATTTTTCCTGTGTTGCAGAGAGGCAAGAGGACTATTGTTTAGGAGAGAGGGTTTGAGCTCAGGTTGGCTTGCAAATTGGAGCAAGTTATGTCATCAGATCTTCCACTTCTGTCTGCATTTGTAAAGTAAGGATAATGATGGTTTGGGGCTGATTAAATAGGATTATGCATGTCTAGCACTCACTAAACCTTAGTGATTATTATTGGTGGAGAGGAGAAGAACGGCCAAGTGTTTGCTTTTGTTGGTAGCTCAGGAAATGGTGGTTCGTCACTAGTAATACAACCTGAAGGGGGTGGCTCGGGTGGGAGTGGGGTGGTGATTTTCCCTGGATTCGAGAAGGAAGTCCTGGACATAAAGATTTAAATAGGCATCCAAGGAGTTCTCTGAAGGCCTCAGCTGGAAAACAGTTAAACATGTCTTCTGAAGGCTAACCTTGGTTGCCTCCACAGAGGGAAATCAGTGGGTGTCAGACAGGGTGGAAGGGAGACTTCTCAATGTTTATTTGAATCCGGAACCATGTGAATGCATTTTTAAAAAACCCCTTATCATGGGTGTACTGAGAATCGTAAGACTAGGATCTAATGATAATAAAAATAATCCCCTTACATTTTTTGCAGCCCTAGGAAGATCTAGGTCATACGAGGTGCACCAGTATTAGGAGTATTTCAGCATGACTCTGATTTTTTTTAAAATATTTTATTTATTTATTTATTTGAGAGAGAGAGAGAGAACATGAGCAGGGAGAAGGGCAGAGGGAGAAACACAACCTGCTGAGCAGGGAGAAGACCCAGACTGGGCTTCCATCGATCCCAGGACCTGGGGATCATGACCTGAGCTGAAGGCAGACCCTCAACCAACTGAGCCACCCAGGCGCCCTGAGCCTGACTCTAATTTCAAAGATCCAAGGTGATATTTTAATTTCAGGTGTCCTCCCTCTGACATTCATTCTAAGAGTCCAGAACCACAGCTTACAGAATTGGGGTTATCCACCCCGTGGATTGTCTTCAAGCACATGTACTGTTGAGAGTTGAATCTATTGGCTAAATAACGTCTTTGTGTATTATCTGTGCATTTATCAGGGCTTTTGAGTTCTCTGGGCCATAGATCACTTTTGATGGTTAAATCAGTGTAGTCTCTGGGGACCTGATTTTCTAGGGTCCTTGGGAAGGGAGGAGGCACCTAACCCCCTTCACAAATAATCAATAATTTGTCTAGACACTGTCCTAAGGCCTTTACATACATTAACTCATTTAAACCTCACAACACTACACTGTAGATACCATGATTCCAATTTTACAGGCAAAGAAACTGAATCAGGTGAAGTGAAGTAACTCGTTCAAGGTCAGAGCCAGCATGCTGGACTAACCATTAAGCAATACTACTTCTCTGTTGGTAGTGGCCTAAGCATGCAGGGGTTCTTTGAAGGTGACTCAAGCCTGGTTGGTTGTGGAGCAGCGATACCTTGGATCCCAAATCCCAAACCCCTCCTTTTCTGCATCTTCTGGTTTAGGAGCAGGAAAGACCAGAGTGTGAATTTCTGCATTGACCCTGGGCCATTTACTTTCTCTCTCCTTGCTTCGGGTTTCCTTATCTGTCTGCCCCAGGGAGGAGTTTCAGATAGAAAGACCTCTCCATGCCTTCCACGTATGGGTGTGTGCTGGCGGTGGGACGAGGATGTGCTGCTTCTGCCAGGTCTCTAGAGGCAACAGGGTGTTTGGAGGTTCTTTCCTAGCTAGCTCCCTCCCAGGAGGTCAGGCCCCCAGGCAGCGATGGCGCTCAAGCTTAGCTATTTTTCCCCCCGCTAGGAAAAGGGCTGTTACTGGGGCCAGCTCTGGCGGCAGCTGGGCTGGAGGGAGAGGGAGGGGTGTCCTAGGGAAGGTCTTTCTCCCCCGAGGGTGTTAGAGATGAGATCGTATGCTCAAGGAAGGCTTCTTGGAGGTAGCGACAGTTGAGTCGAATCCTAAAGGTCTCGCAGGAGTTAGTAATAAGAGGTGGAGGCGTAAGGTTTAGAGATCCCCCCTCCGCCCCCCGCCCCATGCAGAACAAAGAAGCACCATCCGGCTTACAGTACCGGAGGGGAGGAGCTGGGAGAGTGAGGAGGTCCGTAGAGGAGAAATCACGCAGGGGCTTCAGAGCTTGCCTTTATTCTAAGAGCAACTGGGAGGGTTTTGAAGGAGTGTGGGTAAGAGTTTTAGAGACTCCTCTGGCCGCCGGGGAAGAATGGGTGGGAGGGGGGCAGGAGGCTATCACAGAAAGCAGTCCGATTGAAAAAGACTGAAGACCGAAGAAAGGGGGGGGGGGGGCGGCGACCGAGCATCTGAAGCCTTTCTCAGTCCCCGCGACACTGCGCTGTCCCTCAGCTGTCTTTGCTTCTATGGAAGGACCTCATAAAGGGCTGGGCACCGGCCAAACACTCATTGAGCGAAATAGCCCAGAGCTCCCTCTTCTTTGGGGGCTCTGGCCCAGGAGCCCCAGGATTGGTAGGGTTAGGCGGGAGAACTTACCACTGCTGAAGAACCGTTACCCCTCAAAATACACACAAACCTCGGCCGCTTTTGGCAGCAGCCTCCTCCGCCCATGACCTCATGCTTTAAGCTCCCATATAGCCTTCCCCCGCCCTGTCCCCACCCAGCGCCCGAGTGGGGGTGGGGTGGGGGACAGCGGTGAATGTCTGGGTAGGGGAGCACCTCATTTATCCTGCGCGAGATCTGGGGGAAGGGACGCAACGATTTCCCCACACTGAAAAAAAAAAAGCACGGCTTAACTTTCCCTCGAGCAAAAACTACTCGGTGTCTTGTGGGCCCTTGAAGAGATCGATGCCTCGCACCCTGCTCGAGGTGGTCTGTTCAGACGGGCCGCCTTTGGTCCCCATTCCCTCTGACCGGGAGAGAAGCCGGGTAAGGCTGGGGTCCCGCGCTCCACCGACGGGCGGCCGCGCCAACGCGGGACCTGGGGGCCGTTCTGCCCTCGCCCCCCCCTGGCGCCGCCGAGGTTTGAACCCTTGGCTCGCCTTTCAGCCCGCGCGCCCTGCCCCCTGCTCGCAGCTGCTCTCGGTTTGGGTGCAGCGGTTTCCCCCGCAGAAGAGGAGGAGGAGACAGCGCGAGGAGCGACTCCGGGCTCGGGTTTCCGCACCAATGCCGAGCAGCCCCGGGCGGCCCCCGGCCGCCGTCCCTCCTCCCCGGCACCACGTTCCACAGTCATGGCGCGCGAGGAGGGGCGAGCGCGCGCCGCCGCGGCACCCGCCCCCCCCCCCGCCGCCTCCTCTCCTAGGCAACCTCCCTCCCCGGCCTGCAGCGCCGCGGAGATGGAGACCCCTCCCCAGAGAGCTGCGTTTCCAGCGCCGTCTGCAGCCCCCCCTCCCCGCCCCCATCGGGGAGGAGGGATGGAGCCGCGATGGAGCCGCGCGCTTCGCGAACCTCCAGCCCCTTCCCGGGAGCCCCAGCCCCTCTCCCAGCCCCGCCGAGCCTGGGTGCAGTGGGGGTAGGCACAGGCCGTCTCTCCGCACCCCACCGACACCCTGGCATCTTTGCAATCTCTTAAAAAAAATCAATAACCCCCCCCCCCCCCAACCCCAGTCGTTAAATTGCAAGGCGCATTACAACAACCGGGAAGGCTACGCAGGAAGCAATCCTGCACTGGTCCGGGTCTAAGGCGGCAGCTTCCCGGCCACGCCGCCTTCTCCCCGGCCTCGATTTTCCGGTCACGCCGGAGAGTCCGCCACACCCCGGGGCTGACAGGTCCCGCGCGGGGCCGCAACTCGGTCCGCGTCCCCCGCCCCATCCTAGTCCAGAGTCTCGCCAACCTACAAAAGGCGCAACCTCACGCACATGCAGAGCACACAAATAAGGTCGGCAGCGCAGCGCCCGGGAGGTTGCGAACAATGCGCCAGGCTGCCCGCGCCCGCCCGAGCGCGGCGCCCGGGGGGACAGGGGGCGCGGGTGGGGGCCGCGGCGGAGGACCCGCCGGCCGCGGCGCTGGACACCTTACTTCCTGCTTCCCCGCCCGCCGCCAGACCCAGGTCTGCGGAGGGATATCTCTCCCCCCCCGTCCCTCTCTCCCTTCCCCCGCCCTCCCCCTTTTTGCTTCTGCTCCCACCCCCCCCAACCCCGCCTTTCTCCTTTTGCAAGAAAATAATTTGACAGTCGATTTGCTGACAGGGGAGGAATTTGCATCCTGGATTAAAAAAAAAAAAAAAAAAGGCCGAGAGGAGCTTGGGAACGGTTGCTAGGGGTGGGTAATGGGTGAAAAAAGGGGGGCGCCGGGGAGCGGATAAGGAGGGTTAAGGGAGGGGGCGAGGGTGGGGAGCAATGCAAAAGGTAAGGCCAGGTTACCGCGGCTCGGCCTCGAGTGGGCTGCGGCCGGGGGAGGGGCGAGAGATACATATGTATTTCTGTCTCCCTAGCACACCCCCTTCCCTCTAAGCGATGGCTGAGAGGCGGTGCATGCAGATGGGGAGTAAGTTTCCTGAAGGGGAGGGTGGATGCACGCGCGCGGCCCCGCGCTGCAAATTTCCACCGGGGAGGGAGAGTGGCTGGATGCGGAGAGTTTGGAGTTGCTTGCCGCGGAGGGCAGGAAAGGGAGCAGGGCCGGGAAAGGGGGCTGGCGGGCGCTATATCTGGGAGTAAGTTTCCAGGATCAGGAGAGCCTGCACGCTTGCACGCTAGTAAGTTTCTGGTTGGGGAGGGCGCGTGGGGAGGAGGAGAGGGAGGGGTGCATGTATATAGAAGGGGGGAGGGGGGAGCAGATTTCCTGCGGGGAGGCTGAATGCATATGGAGAGTAGATTTCCTGAAGGGAGGGTGGAGGCGTAGACGGACCGAGTAAGTTTCTTGCTGGGGTGGTGGCGGAGGTGGTGGGTTGGTGCTTTGGAAACCCAGAGCTTCCTTCCCGGGGTGGGGGCGCATGCTGTTGGGGGTGGGGTGGGGGCGGCGCAGGGCCCTGTTCCCTGCTGGGGAAGGGGCTTGCATCTGGGAGTATGTTTCCTGGCGGAGCGATATTTGTTTACAGGCTGAGGGCAGTACTGTAAGTGAGTAGCGCTTCGAGAAGGCGGCTCTGACATAAATTAATATTGAAATTACTCCATCAGCTCTGCTCGCCCCCCATCTCACCCCCCAAGCGGAGTCTGGTCTTGTCGGATTGCCCATGCACTTGTTGCAGAAACAGCCAAGGTAGGCAAGAAGCTTATTAAGTTTCATTAAAAAAAAAAAAATTAGTTGGGGGATGCTCCGTGAAAAGACGGGGGAGGGGAAGGGAAAAGTCTCCCCCCACTTCTTTACTTTCAGTCTGTTAGCAGGGCCTTCTTTCTGCTTCCCCTCTTCCCTCGTCCCTCTGCGGGCTGTCCAGCATCCTAGCAAAGGGGGAGGGCTGAGGTGGGCGCTATAATTGGCAGACCCGGCTTAAAGGGTGGTGGTGGTGGGGCTTGCAATTGAAGGTTGTGATGTTATAAAGCCTTCATTCTTCCAGCCAAGAAACCGCAGGACCCTAGAGATGTGCCTTTGGGGTTTTTTGACATGATGCATATATGTATGGATATGCGCCTGTAGGCTCTTTGGGGGCTGGGTACTCCCCCAAGTTACAGTGGCCACCCAGATAAGAGAAATGTGTAAGGGGGTAAGCCTGCCCCTTTCACTCCCTAACTTCAGTTTGGGAATCTGGGAAGTTACTGCTGGTGGGCTGAAGAAATAGATATTTAAGAATAACACAAAACCACCCATTCACTGGCGGAGGCCGAGAGCACCTGGCGGGCAGCCTCTGGCCAGCACTGGGTTGGAGCATGTGCGTCTGCCATCCTTAGGTTAAAGAAAATGACTGCTGGTTCCTCCGTGTGCCTTCGGTTGGTCTGTTAGAGCCAGCTTTGTGGAAACTCTTCCCCAGACGAGACACGGCTTTGGCAAGTGAAGTGTTGAAGCGGGTGGCTCACAGCGTGGCCTGGGTTGTCTGGTGAAGTACGTGGACGTGATACTTGGGAATGATGAAGCCAGGGATGACTGAAGAGTTCTTTAAAAAATGCCTCTCGAAAGCCGGCTGGGTTCACTTTTTAGCAGGCCATGGAGGAGAGCTTTAAGAGAGTTTTAAGTTTTACCAGTTGGTACCAATCTTCTGCATCCTTTACCGTTTCAAGAAAGCAATCTGGTGATGGAAAATGTGGTTTTGATGCCTACTGTAAGAATAACAAGCAGGACTCCAAGCTTAACCAGTTAACCAGCAGTCTTTGCTTCTCCTGGCTTCTCTTTTCCTGGTCTTCAGCCTGCTGGTTTCTGCAGATGAGTTGTAGGTTTTGGCTCTCAGGTACCTTGATTATGCTGGGCGTTTTAACTTTGCCAGGATAATTTTAGCTCCAGGGACTCAAACCCAGACATGTTTGGTAGGGTCAGGTAGTAAACCCTATATGTGTGGTTAACTAAAGTTGGTTAAGCTTTGTGCAGTTCTGTGGACGAACTCAATTCTAGCAGGGGAAAAAGTGGGTTTTAAAAAAAGCTCTCCCTAGGGTTCCTGGGTGGCTCAGTTGGTTAAGCAACTGCCTTAGGCTCAGGTCATGATCCTGGAGTCCCGGGATCGAGTCCCGCATCGGGCTCCCTGCTCAGCAGGGAGTCTGCTTCTCCCTCTGACCCTCCCCCCTCTCATGTGCTCTCTTTCTCCTCTCATCCTCTCTCTCAAATAAATAAATAAAATCTTTAAAAAAAAAAAAAAGCTCTCCCTATATGTTACTGATGGACAGTGCTTTTCTTCTTTCCTTCCTGTCATCAGATTTCCAGATTGAGAATTTGATTTTTGGCAGCTTGAGAGTTGAGTTTGTTGGGAATTAAATATTATTACCACTTGTCAAATACTCCTAACTAGGTCTTAGTTAAACAAATTCACTGGTATTTTTCCCTGCTGAGAATCTTAGCCTGGGAGGGTAAACAAAATCTTTATGTGTGTTTATCCCGGGGTAGAAGAATTATTTACGTGCCTACCCTCGAAGCCAAGAGCAGTCATTCAGTTTTTTTTCTTATATTTATGAAATTTATTTTATTGTCTTGCTTTGGCCATTAATCAAGTCACAGTAGCTTTTTTTTTTTTTTTTCCTTTTTGCTGAGAATGTTCTTGGGGTAATAAAGGTTTGAAGGCCCATGAATCATAATTCATTCTTTTTAAAATATTGTGGTGATTGTCAGGATTTGATTTATAGGAATTGATACCGGGAGTGACACACCTCTTGGGGCCCCGCCCTTTTAGGCATGTCCATTTTCGCCAAAGGATTGTTTAGAAGCCAGCTTGACATCTCAAAAAAAGAGCATTTCCTTTCTGCTTTATGGGCATTGAGAATATTAATTTTGCAGGTTCCATAGTGAACATGGGTCTTTTCACAGCTTGGTAAGTCGGCTTCCACATAGCAGGCATGTGTTAATATCACATAGCATTTATGTGAGCTTGCTGTGAAAACAGTTGTTCTATGAACTGTGTGAAAAGTATTCAGTTTTGTCTCCTTTAACTGGCTTGGGCCTGTGGTTTTTAGCGAAGTAGGAGCTTTCATAGTAAAAGAGCGGACTGCTGCTTATATAATAAAATGTGTGGTCACAAAAGCAAAGCATGTTTGTAACATTCTTTTCCTCCTCCTTTGGTAGGTAGGTTGGTCATAATAATCAAAAGCATTGTTTTTTTTTTTTTTGAAAGTTTAAGGGTTCTCCATCAAGTCGATTAATCAGAAAGTGTTACTATTGTCTTGCATTGGGTAGTTGGCTCAGTTTACAGTATTTGTGAAGCGACAAAGAACTTTTAAGGTGATTTGATTCTCAAAGCAGGGAGTAAATGTCGCTGATGAGAAAAGTTGGGAGGGTACCAGTTTCTAGCCATTTCTGGGTTTTGGATTTTTTATCTTAAAAATGCATATTTGACCCATGAGTTTCTTCCATCTCTGAAATTCTGATTTGGGTCTTGTGGAGAGAGGTCTCAAGAGGTCTCGACAAGCTCTTCCTGGGCCAATGGCCAAATTGCTTCACGGACGAGGACGAGTTGATTAACTTCTGTTTTTGTCTTCTCACGGAGAGAGTGGATTTGTACCTTGGCATTCCAAAAAGGACTCTTGAATAGCCTGGTAATCTTGATGGTCAAATACAAGCAAATACTTAATGAAAGTCTGCCACTGTCTTGGAAAAAAAAAAGTGCATGCTTGTTTCCCAATTATATGTGCTAATAGAGCGTGGGGGCACATAATCCCAGGCACCCAAAATAATTTCAGTTAATCTTGGAAGTTTCCCCTCCAGCCAGCTGGTTTACCTGTTAATTATGCTTGTTCAAGTCTAAGGTTAATTGAGCTGTTATTCCCAGGCTGCAGGAGGAGGTAGTCTTGGGGAGGAGGGGGACACCAGAAAGCCCAGTGTGGCTTTACCCACTTTCTGTGGAGAATTCACATACGGGTAATTGGGATTTGGTCATGTTTGTGATAGAGTTCATAATAATCATGTTGTATGCCTGTCATTTCTGGGATATCTTGTCTTTCACCATGGGCATTTTTTGGGGGGAAAGCTCTTGATGTTTTTATTGACTTTGAACATTGACATGAAAAGTGAGGATCCAGACAAGTGGCTCAGACCCCAGGCAGTACGAATGGATGCTGGTTGTTCTGCTCTGAAAGCAGTTGAATTCAGCTCATTTTATTTATGACCTCATAAAACTGTGTGGGTTAGGGAGAAGGGAGGATTAGAATCAGCTGGGATCTTGTGGATTAATATTTCTGAATTTGCATGTTGGCAGGGAACCAAAGAAATAAAGGGGAAAGTAAAACATAGTTGATTTCTTTTGTGGGGAGAGGGAGACAGAAGTATTTGGTGTCCAGTTAATTGGCATATGCTTGTCACCAAGGGTACTGTGGCATTTTAAGGAATAATACAGTCCTGGTAACGTAAGTTTGATCCCATGGCTTCTTAATAAATCTTTTCTTCTGGGTTAAAGAAAATGCACAACAAAAAGACCTTGTGATATTTTCGAAGAATTTTTAAGTACTCATGGTATCTGCTTATAAGGTCTTTTGGTTAATTTGGGTTTGCTGAGCAAGAGGATGGTTTTTGTGTTTTCCTCGTCGAAAGACGACAAGCTGGGGATGGGTGGGATATGCTGAGCTATTGGGCTGTTAGTGCAACAACACTAAACATTTTTGTTGTTGTTATTAGAGAGGTCGGGGGAAGGAACCCGTGTGCCTAAATGGCAGTGATAACTCTGGGCTCCTAGAAGGTAACAATTATTTTCATGCCGTAATTGGATCTACTTTATTCCTTGGTTCAAGAGCTACTTTACTGAGCACCTACTATTCTAGGCACTGTCTTAAGGCTGGGATTATGATGATAATTAAAATAGACATATTTTACTCCCTCTCCCCTCCACCACCCTAACCTCTAGCTTACCATCCAGAGGGGTGGCAGATGCGTACAGAAATATATATTGCAAAATGTGATAAATGCTTTGATGAAACCACAGGGAAGAGTGACCTGGCCTTACGCAGCTAAAGTAGCCTAAAGAGGTGCTCTGAGGTTTGGCAGAGAGCACCAGGAAGAGGAGAGCCCGTGTGGAAGGACTTTGGCTTTGGGGGGATCTAAAGAGAGGCACAGGCTTGAGACAAGGGGGACGGAGAGAGGGCAGCATGAGGCGAAAGTGCAGGACTCCGGAGGCCTCTGAAAAGGTTGGGTTTCATTTGAAGTGCAGTGGGAAACCACTGAAAGTTTCCAGTGGGAAGTGACACCCCCAACTCTTGGCTTGCAGTGGTGGAGAGGGGCAGGTGTGGAGTTGGAGAGCAGGCCAGGTGAGGAGGTGATGGGGAGTGGAGGGAGCAGGTGGGTGTGAGATGCACTTTGGAGGTGGAAGGGGCAGGGTTGCTGATGGGTTTGATGCTGGCTGGGGAGAAGGAGTCTAGGATAGCTCTGAGGGTTCTGGCTTGAGCAGTTGGGTACATGGGTGGTGCTGTTTGCCCAGATGGGGAAGATTGGGAGTGGGAGGGGAATGGAATCAAGCTATTTCCGTTTGGGCTCCGTAAGTTTGAAGTGCCTGTTAGACTCAAGGTGGAGATGTCAGGCAGGCAGTGTGAGAGTGGTGTCCAGCACCAGAGGAGTGGCCAGGCAAGAGATAAAATGTGGGAGCCATCAGTGGTATTTAAATCCAGGAGACTGGATGAGATGCCCTAAGGAGCCTATAG